GCCATTTTCAAAAAACGTCTAAAGACACATCTTTTTTGCCAGCACCTGACGAACTAATACTAGCACTTACTTATTCTATTCTATTTAAAAAAAAACTAGATATGTGTATTGTGCTAAACTGAGACTTGTCACAGCACTTGTATACTGTTGCTCTCTTGTTGGTCTGATTGCTTCTATTGTTCTCCTCATTTGTAAGTCGCTTTGGATAAAAGCGTCTGCTAAATGATTAAATGTAAATGTTAATCTGGCTATTGTCCATACACGTGTCATCGTCTGCACAAGCACAACCCGAGTATTTCACACGTATAGTGTGAACACATAAATCGTGCTCGACGATCGGACTGTACAGTGTGAGCACATAAATTGTGAGCTTTGGCTTTACATCGCATGCGATCTTCTCGTACAGTGTGAGTTGGTACCTTGCTGAAATCGCACAGTGTATGCCCGGCTTGAATGTAAAAGGTAAATAAAAGATTGTTCAATGATGTGAAAAATTGTCCCAAAATTCAATGTTAATACTTTTTTAACTCTCACTCATGTACATTTTTCAGATATTCTGTCTCATGGTATTTTGACACAGTACCCATACCAAGTAATATTAATTTCTCTGTATTTTTCACACTAAAGCAGTGGAAGCAAGCCAACCTGTGAATAAGAATGTACTGTGTATGACTGAAAGATTGCCGTTTTGCCTACTAATGCTTGTTATTAAATGTGTTTCTCTCCTCTGACAACTTTCCTCTTCTGTAAGGCAGAATGAGGTTTGAGATTGGAAACGCTGCAGTGTTTGGCTCTGTTGAAATCCTGGATTTGGATCATTTTGTGTATGACGATGCAGGATTGGCGCAATAACATTGTGTTTTGGGATTATGTTGGTATTGGGATTTCTTCCTTATAGGATTTGCCAACATCTGTTCCAGTTGTTCCCACTTAAATTTAAGAAAACAGCAGCCTGCGAATAAAAAAAAAAAACCTGCCGCCATTGTGTTTGAATGTGTGTGTATTTAACAAAGAAAAAGGGACAAGTGTGTATATGAGAGGGAACAGTGTGTATGTGTTTACAACAGTATGAAATAGAGATTGCATGTGCATGTGTGTGTGTGTGTGTGTGTGTGCAAATACCCTCCCCTGAACCACAGGGAAAAATGGGTGGATTAACCTAAATGGAAATTCTCTGTTCTGTGTGGCTCTCAAGGCTCTGCCTGCGGACAGGGGCCCTTATCTAAAGCAGGTTTTAGAGGGAGTAGATTCTTTTATTAGGGCCTTATTTCTGTTTCGCTATCGTTATTCCACAAATTCATACGTCAGAACAGGTCTATTCAACTCTGCATCTCGTGGGGTATACAGGGATGACAGCAACACTGAGAGAGCCTCAGGAGTGGTTTATTATTTTACAGAGTATTGTACAGACTGAGGGAGCTTTTTAAAGATGCTGAACAGGGAGTAGAGTGGTCATGCTTGGAAGCTTAGACCCAATTTAAAGGAGCTTTAATGGAAAGAAGTTTCTGTGGCTCTGTTGTTGTTGGTCCTCATTGATGTGTGTGCATGTGTCTTTGTTTTCTCTTTAAAACCACTTAAGGCAATAATTGCTTTTTCTTTTTTAACCTATTAATGATGATTCTTAATAAATGTGGACTGAAATCTGATTAGTCATAGCACTTTTTTTTAGATTTGTTAGTTAAAAGTCTATTAATTTGTTCAGAGATGCATACAAATGTAATTCATACATACATATAGTAGAAATTAGGGCAAGAAAGTCATGTAATGCAACCAGCATGCAAAAGAGAAAATGTAAAAACATGAAACATGTAAAATGTAAAAAAAAAGAAAATAAGAAAAAAAAAGATTTTGAAAATAATGATTATGATATTTGTGAATGGAATGAATGGATAAATGGATGATTAATATTTGTATACTATGTGTTAGTATATGTTTTTATTTATACATTATATATCATGTGGTTATTTATACGACATATGAGGCATTTTATTGCAACTTTTCTTATTGTATAATGAAAATTGTAATTAAAAAAAATTGTATAATGTTTTACAAAACCATATGAAACAAAAGCGAATGCAAATACTAAATTTCAAAGAACTTGCTACATGTTTTAAATCAGATTTTTAAAAGATTTTCTTTTATTTTTCTTCAACACTTTTATTTGTCATTCTCCTTAAAAGCGAAATGAAGATTTAACCAAGGCGGAGCAGATGGCTCTGGTGACCGAGGCGAAGGCGGGGATCCGGAAGGCCGCAGTGGAGCCGGAGCGACAGAGGACCAAGGTGGAGCCATTCAGAATGTGTGGGGGGCTTAGGGACGGTGTGTGGCGAAGGCGGGGATCCGGAAGGCCGCAGTGGAGCCGGAGCTACAGAGGACCAAGGTGGAGCCATTCAGAATGTTCAGGGGGCTTAGGGACGGTGTGTGCTGCCCACACACACCACTTGGCCACTCCCAGTACCGGGAGCGCCAGTGACAGGGGAACGACCTTCGTAG